CCTTCAACAATTATATACCTTTCATTATGCATTTGAACTCCACTCAATTAAGTGAATTTCTGAGGTTGATATGGTGGTTTTTGACTTTCAAGGCATACGAGGCCGCGGCTCTTTTACTACAGTTCGAAAGTCGATGGCATCCGCGCTTACATAGACATAGGTTTTTTAATTGACTCAACGGCAAATTAAATTCCTATTTAATTTAGTATTCACAGATCACATCCTTCACTGCCTTAGCCACTCAGCTAGCCTCCATCGTTCGCAGGAATGGCAACAGAAAGGGTGGGAAGGATGAAGCTCTCGGTTCTCAAGGCCTCGAGGGTTTCAGCACAAGGTCTTGGCTGCATGGGTATGTCCGACTCCTATGGTGCTCCCAAGCCCGAACCCCATATGATCGCCCTCATCCACCATGCCGGAAATTCTGGCATCACCTTCCTCGATACTTCTGATGTATACGGTCCCCACACCAACGAAATCCTTCTCGGTAAGGCTTTGAAGGGTGGACTCAGAGATACTGTTGAATTGGCTACCAAGTTTGGGATTATCTTTGTGGATGGTAAATTTGAGGTCCGTGGTGATCCAGCTTACGCCCGGGCAGCTTGCGAGGCCAGCTTGAAGCGTCTTGGAGTTGATTGTATTGATCTTTACTATCAGCATCGGATTGACACCCGTGTGCCCATCGAAGTCACGGTTTGTTGTCCCTCTTTATATTGTGATCTTCTCTAGATGAAAGCTAACAATCTGCAGAGAAAGTAGTTTTTCAAAAAGAAAAAAAAAAGAGTGCATGAATATTTGTGAAAAAATTTAGACATCCTTAATAAATTAACAAGCATCAAGGTATTCGTAAAGTTATTTGAATAATTAGAGGTAATGACTACATTTTCTTTGACATGAAAAACACTTTTTTGGTAATTTGCAACTGATTCTGTAGAGTAATAATAATGTTTTGGTAGATGGGGGAACTAAAGAAATCGGTTGAAGAAGGTAAAGTGAAGTACATAGGTCTTTCTGAGGCTTCTGCTTCAACTATTAGAAGGGCACATGCTATTCATCCTATAACTGCTGTGCAGCTGGAGTGGTCTCTATGGTCTAGAGATGTGGAAGAAGAAATAGTTCCTACTTGCAGGTCAGAATATGTATCACTTGGGACGGTTTTGAATTAATTTGCATTCACCATTTTAATAATTTTCCTTTGTCATTTCTCAGGGAACTTGGAATTGGGATTGTTGCATACAGCCCTCTCGGGCGAGGATTTCTTTCATCAGGACCATCACTAGTGGAGAATATATCGGACCAAGATTCCAGAAGGGTTCGTATCAATTTATGCAAACTTAACCTTCAAAAGAAAGGCCTTAATGTTTGTTATTATGCATACCAAGTAATTTATATATGTTTTGGTGATGAAATCATTCAAGTGTCTTCTTCAACTGTGTGACATTTTCTACCTAGATTCCTACCTGAAAATCTTGAGCATAACAAACACCTCTACGAGCAAGTTAAAGAGATGGCGACAAGGAAGGGATGCACTCCATCACAGCTTGCACTAGCATGGGTCCATCACCAAGGAAACGATGTCTGTCCCATACCTGGAACCACCAAGATTGAAAAACTTGAACCAGAACATAGGAGCTTTGTCTGCCAAACTCACTCCAGAAGAAATGGCTGAACTTGAAGTTATTGCTTCCAAAGATGCTGTTCTGGGAGACAGATACCCATCCACCATTCCTACTTACAAGAATTCTGAAACTCCGCCTCTGTCTTCATTGAAACCTGAATGAACAATATATGGAACGATATGTTACGAACTTTGATCAGCTTTCCTACTATGTATTTAGAATTTCAGAGAATAAAAATGCTTTGTGAAAAATGTCATGTTTTTGAATGCTAAATTACAAGTGTGAACACCTTAAATCAAGTATGTATGTCAACTTAATTCAATCCTAAAATAAATAAAAACAAGGTCACATGTTGCGCTTTGTATGGCTTGCTTTATATAGTTAGTTCACATGGTAATATTGCAGTCAGCTTATAGGGCATTAAGGTAGTAATTAAAAAAGGTTTGGATCAAAGTTATCAATACCATACTAGCATATGTACCGGTTTTGTTACTGGAACGTACGTACTGGATATCAGAATTTTTCGTGTACCATTTCGGATTTATCGGTATAAAAAATTTTTGTGAAGAAATTCAAGAAAAATAACAGGAAAAGGACTCAATCAAAAAAATTAAAAAGTTGAGGATGAAATCTACCAAAACAAATCCACAAATCCACCCCAATATTGAGCCCACCAACAATTTAATTCAAGTTCCAACCCAATTTCATAGCCCAGCCCATCAAAACCCAAATTTAACAAAGAGAGGAAACCCTAGTTTCCCCTCTTTTAAAGTGTGAAAGAAACGGCAGACTAAAAAAAAAAAAACCAGAAAGCCTCTCGATTTTTCTCCCTTCTCCCTTTTGCAGATCTGCGACGGCCACCATCACCCTTGTTCCTTCACCTCCGACCTTCACCATCTCCCTTCTCCCTTCTGCAGATCTGCACGGCCACCATCACCCCTGTTCCTTCACCTCCAACCTTCACCATCCTCTTGCTAGCTAATCGTCACGCTCATCTCACCAATCACCAAGAAGACGATATAGATCTAGCCGCAAGCCCCTTGGGACTCTGACCTTGACATCTTCTTGCGTCTCATCATCATCACTGCCTCCACCTTCATCACCGGTAAGCAGAGGGTTTCAGCAGCCACCAGAAAGGGAGGATCTCTCTTCTTCAAAAAAATCTAAAGTGGTTGTCAACACCGCCGGTACGCCGAAATACCGGCCGGAATACCGAGATTTGACCGAAATGAGCGAAATTTGACCGAAACGAAATTAAGCTTTATACCGTTTCGGTGCAATGGAAAATCCGGTACGTTTCGGTGCAATGACTCATTAGGCACCTAGTATATGTAGTAAATAAGAGTTCAGGGTAATAATTTGGGAAAAGAAGAGGGTTCTGGTGAGCGAAGGAGATTTGAGAGTAAAGAGAGATGTCCTATTTGCTACCGCATCTGCACTCAGGGTGGGCTGTGGATCAGGCGATCCTGGCGGAGGAAGAGCGGCTCGTTGTCATCCGGTTTGGCCACGACTGGGATGAAACCTGCATGCAGGTGCTTGGCTAATCTTTGTTCCTCCGTCTATTATTTCCTGTGTATCTAGTTAACAATTACTTCTGATTTTCGTTTTAATTTTGAACTCTCTTGTTATTAGGAGAAATCCCTCAATTACTTGGGAATTAAATTGTATGGTGGGTTGGATTCTCTATATAGGGGAAAAAACCCTAACTATTAGTTTTTTAAGAACTTGTAGAAGTATAATGAACCATGTGTTCTACTCTAGGTTGATTAGTGGCTTGGGTTGGAAAATTGACCATTGTTTGTGTCCACAATCAGTATGCTTCTCGGTTATGGTTCTTTTAGGAATCCTGTAGTTTTCCATAGGCGTTGGCTTCTATGATAAATGCTGGAAAATGTCAGGATAGTGGGACAGGGCAAATAATTGCTGGTTTGATTTAGAAGTTTGATTAAAACAAATCAGTGGTATTATCTATTGGATTTATGACAATTGCCACCATTGGAACTCTAGAATTCTTGACTAGATTGTTTCAATGGTTTTCTCTTGGATGTCATTAAGCATGTAGTCTGTTTGGTAGTGATTGCAATCTGTTTGTATTTATTTGGGGTTGGGAGTGTTGATGTTTAGAAGATTAAAGCTATTTTCATGCATGCCTACCTGGTGCTTATTCTTATGTCTGAATGGTGTGTGTTGGGTCTGGTTTTGGCATGTTTTAGCATGCATGGGGCCCTGTTACCGGATGAGTAATGGTATTATTAGTTTGGCTATTTTGATGGGAAAGAATTTAACAGAATATTTTTCATTGCTGTTCCAAAAAAAAAAAAGGGGAAAGGAATTTGATTGCTGGGGACTAAGTCACTGGCAGATTGAGTGAAGTTTAGAAACACTCTTTACAATTACAAGTCATTTTGTGCTTCTATATGTGTGCCTCATTTCAAGGATAAATTGTCTAAATTTTGGGGTGTAAGCAATGGTTTTTGTAGGTTTTCTCAGTTCATTTTCACACTCTGTAAAAATCTCTGCTTTTCACCATATATCACTTTGATAACATTTTCTTCAAGCTAGTGCTTCTGCTTTTAAACTTCTTGGAATTAAAATATTATTGAATTAAATGAAATTTCATCATTGATTTTGTTCATCTCAATGGTCTTACATGTGTTATGATGCAGTTGTTTAGTTAAAATATATTGCAAAAATGATATCTTAAATTTCTAACAAATTGATAGGGGAACATTTTTTTCTCTTCTGTTGCCTTAAAGTTTGAAATGTTGCGTGATCTGTGGAGCATGGACCAATATGTCTGGCTAATCGAAACTAGAATGTCCTCCTAGTCAGGGATAATTGTTAACATCTGCTATTTTTAAAATCTACTGCTGATTTACAATCAGAAAACTTTCGAATTCTAACCCATCTCTATGCTAAAATTAAGCGTAACAAATAAAGAAAAAAAAAATTGAAGTTTTTTATGCTTGACAAAATTTCAACTTTAGTCTAAGACCACGTGTTTATATTCCAGATCTCATTTTATAATTTTGTTAGAAAGTTGATAGTTACTCTCCTTGACTTGTTTTTGTTTCATCTAGATTAAGGAATAAAAGTTATCATTACATGTCTAATATTTAGGTAATTTGATTTGCATTTACAGATGGATGAGGTGCTTGCTTCAGTTGCTGAGACCATTAAGAACTTTGCTGTGATATATCTTGTGGACATAACTGAAGTGCCAGATTTTAACACAATGTACGAGCTGTATGACCCATCAACAATCATGTTCTTCTTTAGAAACAAGCACATTATGATTGACCTTGGCACTGGGAATAACAACAAGATCAACTGGGCTCTCAAGGACAAGCAGGAGTTCATTGACATTGTTGAGACAGTGTATCGCGGGGCAAGGAAGGGCCGTGGTCTGGTAATTGCTCCAAAAGACTATTCCACCAAGTACCGCTACTGAGGACTCTCAGATTCTGTAGTTGATTTTAAACATGTTAAGATCATCTTCTGCAAACTTGTTGCAGACAAATTGCATAGGAATTAAGTACATGTGGGTGTCATTTCTAGTTTTCTACTTCTTTGCGTATTTGTGTGATGTTTACTTGTTTCATTTGACATCAAGGTTACTGGACAAAATGAATAATATTGGATGTATTTTGGATATTTTCAGACATGATTTATATTGTTTGTGAGTGGACTATGCGTGGAATAGATTAATTCAACAGAATAGGCTATTGGATATGATTCATGTTCTTTTAGGTTGGCTATGCTTGGGTGTAAGTCTGGAGTGGTTTTACCCTTCGAGGTTATGTTGTTGAAGTTCCACGTCATACGTAAAAACGTCTTTACATTCAAGGAAGCATGTGTTGTCAAGGAAAATCCAGACTTTTTGTCCGTGTTCAGGCATCACCCTGCACTAAGGACTCAAATTAACTTACACCACAATCTGCGGTCCCAGGCTGGTGAACCTCTTTTCGTCTGTCTCAATCTCAAAATAACTTTTGTTTTTAATTTTAAATTTATCTTAAATTAATTATTTATATATATATATATTTTTTAAGTAGATAATCATTTTTTATTTAATTTTATTATTATTTATTTACTTTA